AGGCCGGCCGGCGCGGCCTAGATCCCTCCGCCCGCGGCCACGCCCGCGAGCGCCGGCGCTCGTTTCTCCAGCTCGGAAACCCGAGCCGACTTTCTCCGGCCGCAGGACTCGGAGCGCGCCGGTCCCGGGCGGTGACACCCGGCCACGGGTCAGAGCTCCCCCGGCTACGGCAGCCAACTCCTAGCGAGCAGAGGAGCGAGTACCCAGGGTGATCTTGCGACACTCCAAGGGACAGTGTGGGGCTGGCTCTGGTGCCGATGTTAGTTATGGCCAGCACGGATTTGTGCAGAGAATTAATTTGGAATGTTTCTTGCTGGGAAAGGGGAAGTTAAAAAAAAAAAAAAAAAAAGGTCAGCCAAAAAGCTTCCCACGCCTCCCTTGGGATTCTCTAGAACCTTCAGGGAATTCCTAAAGCTGCATTTGAATGCCTCGGTTCCGGGTCTGCGGTAGTTTATGGGGGAGGGGGTATAAAATCCTCCAAAAGGTCGGAGAGGAAGGCGGCTCCATCGGAATGACTTCCTCCGCCAGTCTACATTAAGATCTAGGAAAATGAAAGCTCTTCCTCCGCGACCTCTGTGTGGAGCTAGTTAGACCCCATAACCTCCCCGACCCTGGCCAGGAACCCCAGCGCCCGCCTCCCCCGGCCCACACCCCCGACTCCCTCGTCGGCGGGACAAAAGGCAGCTGTGCCGCCTCGTGAGCTTTCCCAGCCGGTAAGTCGCACCCCGCAAACTGAACCCATTCTAACTTGAAACTACAGGTTCCCAAGGGAGCGAAGGAAGCCCGGGGCCTGCAGACTCCCCCCGCTCGGGGAAGTCCCCACGCCGGGGCGCGCAGCCCGGCGTTCCCGGCCCGGAGCCCATGCTCAGCGCCAGCACAGCTCCAGGCGCGCGGGCGCCGCGCAACGGAGACGCCGCGGAAGCCTGGAGAGCTCGCGGGTGTTGGGCAATAGCCCCGGGAGGAGGGCGGACGCGACCTCGGAAAGTTTCTGGGGCTCGAACATTTTAACTCTGTAAGGACAAAGAGATCTGATTTCCCCGGAACTGGGGGAGGGGGCTGCAGGGGGGACTGCGAGGCAGATGGGGGCGAGGGAGTCTAGGGTTAAAGAGAATTTCCTTCGTTCAACGTTTAATGCGGTCTCCTCTTAAGCCATTTTCAAGAAGGTGATTGAAAAAATAAAGGTGTCTGGCAGGCTATGGCTAGGAAGGAAAATGCCTGCAGAGTCCTTGTGCTGATTCGTATGTAACACTAAGAAGAGTACGTGGTGTATTCCCTGCGCATTATTTAGAATACACACAAATTCGCACACACAACAAACACTATCATCCCAAACACTTGGCCATGGCCACAATGCGCAAAGTGCTCCTGGAGTTATAGCTCAGTTTCATACGTGGAACACCACGAAAGTAGATGACCTGATCTCCAAGCTCAACCGGTTTGCGCCCTTTGCCGAATTCTCACTTAACAAATCACAGCCACACAAGACACACCAACAGCTGGGGCGGGGGTGTGCAAAAGTAAAAAACCACCATCCTGTAACATAAAATCACAAGATTTTTTTTTTTAATGGCACGAAAGAATTCCTGGAGAAAATTACCATTCATTAATAAATGATAACATTTACTCGAGCTAAAACATCTGTGTGGGAATCCCCATGTTCCAGACTCACTGAGAAAACCCAGTTGCCTGGAAGAAGTTGCTCTGGGTCGCCACAGAAACGCCGAGAGCCAGAGATGGAGATTTCAGACTCCTGTGCTGCCACGTTTTTACTGGTCCTTTAGCCCCAACGGATCGAACTAGAGGTGCCTTTTTGCAACCATTCAATTACCTTCACACGAAAGAGAAATGTAGTTCAAGCTCCACGTTTGTCCTTTCAATAGTCGACCCTCCCTAACCCTGTTCCCAAAGGCTCTTGGAAATGAGGGGCTTCGATCGGAATGACCTCACAAAAAAAAACAAAAACGCTTTCCTCCGGCACGGCCTCTGAATCCAGTCCACTCAAGCTAGTATTTGTCAATTACAAATAGAATGGGCCGGAGCGGGTGGTAATTAAGGCCGGGGTGGCGGCCACCGAGCTCACGCCCACGTCCCAGGAGCAGGTCCAAGTTCGCGGTCCGCAAGGAGCCCGGCGAGGAGCGCGCGCCGTGCCCGGGGTGGGGCCTAGAGGGCGCTGCGCCACAGCGAATCCCGCGGCCTCGGATGCGCCCTCCCTGGGCACCATTTCTATAATAAGTTACATTCAAAATAATGCACAAACGGCATAGCTTTTCAAGTTCTTTTGAACAGTGCTATGTATGTATTTTATGAATTCCAAAACCTATGCATACCGATCTTTCATTCGAGAGCCAAGCACAGCCAGAGGGGCGTACAGCTCTCCAAGGGGAGAGCCCGTAGGGATGCACACGCTTCCCTGCTCCAGCTTAGGGCCAAATACCCCAACGTAATTTAATTTACGTTGAAACTTAAATACATAAGGCTTGCATTAAACAAAGAACTCACCAGTCCAGCCGATTCCTCGGTGCTGCGCTTTAAAGTCCTCGGCAGCTCCGTAATCCCCACGCGATTTGGATATTTGCTAGAAGCCGCGTCTGAAGTACCAACTTTGCCTCCCTGGGATCTTCAGCATGTCCCCAACGAGAGCGCGATCCTCCCGCGCTGCCCGGACCCAGGTGGCCGCATCTCCCGGAGGCTTCCGTCCTCGGTGAAACTTGAGGACCAACAGGAGGCGAGGTGAGAGTGCGCGGGGGCTGGAGAGATGGCCCAAGAGAAGCCAAGTTTGTCCGGACTTGTCCAGGCAGCGAGCCGCCGAGTTTGAGAGTTGCGGCCGGGAGCTGCGGTGGCTCACTGCCTCTTCCCCCACTCCCTCGCTCCTGGAGGAACTGGGGGAGGGGACGTGACGTCAGCGCCCCGCCTCGCCCCGGCCCCACCGCCTGGAAAGGATTCTCCGGCGGAGTCCGCCTCCGGGACAGTAGCGGCGGCGAGCAG